TCCTCTTTAAAATTCTGATCTGCACAGAAATCTCTTGGAATGATCTTAGTCCGACCCCACACAGGAATCCAGTCCAATATGTTGTGAGGATGGCTTAATTTATCTACAGCGCCCCCTAGAAACACTAAAACAAGCAGCCTCAAACCATGCTTGCACTGAGGATTATGAAACTGTGCACACATGTATAAGTCCCTAGGACCTACTAAAAAATTCTCTTAGAGCCATGGCCCAAGCTGCACAGGAATGTGGCCATTTTAAACCAAACCATAGCTTAGATTTTTAAACCTTCCTAGCCAAAGCTGTGGTTTTCCGCTGCTTGTCAACTGGTGAAGTGTGGAACTTGGCTTACGTGGTCGCGATATAGGCTGAGCTGCGAGGGTCGTCCAACGCCGCTTGCGTCTTAAATGTATTTATCGATCTAATACATGATTTAAATATTACAATTCAAAATGCACAATGAAATTAATTGTCCCTTTACATAATTAAAATGCATTTAAATAATTAAGTTACAACAACAGAAGCACCAATAATTCTGGGAGCAGTGGCTTATGTAAAGTGGATCCTTGTGTTTTAGATTATGCTTCTGTGGGATGGGCATTTTTGAGGGTTTATTTTACAGCTTTATCAGTGCAGCTAATAACAGACTATAGATGGTTACTGCTGGGATGATGTTTGAGTTCAGGGTGTCTTGGTTTGCAGTCATTTTTATGTTTTTTTATTTGTTTGTTTCCTTCACAGCCTGGATCTGCTGCACATTTGGCCCTGGTACGCGAAGCTGCAAACTTCAAACTGAAGCACGGACGGAAAAAAGAAGCCATCAGTGATCTGGAGCAGCTGTGGAAGTGAGTCCCTGCAGAAACACTAGGGTTGTTTTTTTTAGCTTGACAATTCAAAGTACTTCTGTAATATAAGTGTTAATGATCTGTTTTGTGCATTACAACCAAGATAATATTTAGATTCTAATCTGTAGTTTTATTTGCAGTAAACAGAGCTTCTATTCTGTGCTTTTTAACAGACAAAACACTAACGATGTTCACACACTGGCTCAACTGATCTCCGCTTATTCTCTGGTGAACACGGATAAAGCCAAATCGTATCCTTTGACATGGAACTTACTGGTCTCAGTTCTACTTTCCCCTTAAAGCTGCAAATAAATAAAGATTTGTTGTTTTTTCTTGCTTGCCATAATAATTTGTTATTCTTACGAATTCAATTCAATCAAGTTTATTTTTATAGCGCCAGTTCACAACACGTCCTCTCAAGGCACTTTACAACCAGATCATACAGTCATATTGATTCAAAGTTTGCCATCCAAGGAAAACCAGTCGATTGCATCATTGACTCAAAGGCAATCCCTCTCACCAAGCATGCTTGTAGCGACAGTGGAGAGGAAAACTCCCCTTTATCAGGCAGAAACCTCCAGCAGAGGTTTCGCCAAAGAAGAAAAACAATCATGTTACAAGTTGTATTTTCCAGCAATTATCTCTGGTTCAGTATTTCTGAGCTTCAGTAGAAGAGCAGTGCCTCACAAATCTGTTCAGAGTCCTTAGCGTTTTTCTCCAGTCTCAGCAAGCACCTGCCGTCTGCAGATGCCATGTCTTTCAACGTTGACGTGGACGAGCTGGAGAACTCTCACGGTGCCACTTATATCAGGAAAAAAGCTGGTAAAGTGGTCGGAGAAAACATCCCCAAGGAGTCAGGGTAAGTTCTCACACATATATCCTAATATTTAACTGGAAAACTTAAATACGGATTAGTTCATAAAGTTGTATTTTGCTGCAGCCAAGGTGAGATCAAAAAGAAGAAGAAGAAAAAGAAAGGTACGTCGACATTCTGTTAGCAGCCCGTCCTAGATGTTCATGTACCTCTCGATGTTGCTCACCTAAAATCATCTTCATCTTTAGGCAAACTGCCGAAGAACTACGACCCCAAAGCGACGCCGGACCCTGAGAGGTGGCTTCCAATGAGGGAACGCTCCTATTACAGAGGCAAGAAGAAGGGAAAGAAGAAGGAGCAAATAGGAAAAGGCACGCAGGGAGCGACTGCAGGAGCTTCAGCCGAGCTGTGAGTGAACCCACCTGAGATCATCACCTTCATTATGGAACCTCAAAGGCCCGTTTCCTCTACTGAGGAAACTCAAAATAGACAAGAAGGGTTTTTACACGCCATAAAACCTGTAGAACTTCTTAAAAAGCAGTTGCATTTCACACACTGTTTTTAAGAAGCAACTTTGAAAGCATTACTGTCCAAAAGAAGAAAGCCGAAAATGAAATGAAGAATCAGAAATAGGGACGCTGGACGTGTTACCAGACAGAAGCATTTTCCTTTAGAGAACTTGCACTCAGTCTAAATCGTCTTAAACTAAACAAGATTAAGTTTTTCAACATTAGATAATTTAGGAGTTTTTTCCATGTTTTTATGGAAACACTTTCCTACCTCCGGGGTTTATTCCAGTCACGATGAAGGATATATGTCTGCATTTATAGATAAGTTCCTCCATTTGCTTTACTTTTCTTTATTTTCTTACAGAAGATGCAGACATGTATCACTCCTAGCTTTTTTATGCATTTGAGTGCATCTGTTAAATAAAAACTCATTAAAGAAACAGGAAGTGAGAGATGTGCAAAGTCAGATTTTCATTTTCCTACTTTGTAAAGGTATTTGGAACATAAGTCATTTTAACATGAATGATGAGTCGATGCTCATTGTGTTCATGTGGGGAGTGGTAGCCTTAGTGCGACCCCCTCCGCCTTAACATTTACCCTTCATTGGGTAAAATGCTGACACATTTTCCCACTATAGAACAACTTATGGATGCTATGATAAAAGAATAAAAAATATTCAACTGTGATGTACATTCTGATACATTAAATGAAAAAAAAAAACTAAGAGAAAAAAGATTGATTGTCCACTCCTTATTAAAAATGAACCCCAAAATAGTGCAGGAGAATTTTGATTCCTAGGTTCCAACCTTTGTGTTTGTCCTCCCCCGATGATCCTCTGCTGGTTTAAAACCTTGATGTAATCAGCTGTTCTGATCGAACCAAAGCGTTGCTGTCGTCTTTTTCAGGGATGCCAGTAAAACAGCCAGCAGCCCGCCAACATCCCCAAGACCAGGCTCTGCGTCCGGCTCATCAGCGGCCCCCAGCGGCAGCGGCGTGGTCCCTCCACGACAGCAGAAACCTTCATCATCAGGGGCTACACGCAAAAAGGCACCACAGAAGAAGAAGAAGGGAGGCAAAGGAAGCTGGTAGACCAGCTTTGAAGCAGCGTAGATGACAGGAGGGTTCATTTCAATGTTTGTATTATTTCCCCTCTTCTGGTCGTGTATCCAGATGAACAAAAGCCTACTGTCTGCTGTCCTGCAGCTGTCTCTTATTTTAATGAAATCACATTCAACAACTGAAGGACGCTCAGTCGGATTTATTTCTTTTTTTTTCTTCTTTTTTTTGGAAACAATGTTTATGTTTTCATTTATCTCAGAACCAGAGTACGTCAAACACAGCTGAACTATATATTTGCATTAAATGTGCAATAAATGGTGAAAGGTGTATTTTTCTAACCCTGTATGAGAGTTGTTCTGTATTTTACAGCTTGAGGAAAATAAATTAAAATGGGCTTTAACCATCAATCACATTAAAATCAAGTTTTTTTACTCATGTTACCTGTTTAGAACCTGTTTTTTTATGGCTCTTCATAACATCCCTTTTCAGACCGACACAGTCCAGGTACTCAGAGAATCTTGCTTTATTTTCCCTCAATAAGCTGCAGTTTTTATTCCAGGGTAATTGATCATCAACACTCGCCTTGGTTCTTCTTTATGTATCTTCATATCAATCTGCTGCAGGGAAGCATGCTTTGGTTTTAAAAGAAGTGTCATTCTGGATAAAAATTGTCAAAACTATTTTGGCCACAGGTTACCCATTTTAAGTATAAATAAATCTCAAAGATGAATCTGCCCTGTTTCCTGTCAGATATATAGTTTTTTTTTTTTACTTTTTTTGTTGGATTTAACTTTTTTTTTTCTATTCTGTTGGCAAACAAGCATCATACAACTTTAACATCCAACGCCATCAGGTAACTTTGGTCAAGCCAGGCTTTGCTTCCTCAGTGATTTTTAAACCCAGGTAATTTATTTATTTTTTTGTTTTAATACACTCAAACACAAAGATGCAGACTAAGATATTTCCACAGTTTAAAAATTGAAATATAAGTTGTGTTTTCCTGAGCAGTTTTTTTTTTTTTCCAATTAGGACAATTCTGTCAGAATAGAAAGTAATCATCTTATGTATGTAAAAAATATTTTTTAATTAAATGGAAGCAAACAGAGAGCTGTCAAGAGTGCATTTGGATTGTTCTTGATCTAAAAACAGTATTTTATCTTGATTTGACTGTAGTCTTATTTACTAAATTTGTATGATGTTAAATTTTATTAAAATTTTCCCTTAATAGTTTTCTGCTTGAGCAGTTAAAACGATGTCCGATTAGAATATGATTTATATATATTTTTTTAAAAACTTATTTCAAGGGCATAATCTTATTTTAAGAACAAAATTACTAATTCGATTGGTAGATCATTTCATTTACCTGCTTAAATAAAGGACAATTACACTTTAAACTTCATCCTCGTCTGAATTCAGTTTTAGACATTCGGGATGTTTATTTCAGACAAAGTCGGTAAAAGTCCAATAAACATGAATGGGGGAAATTAAGTCATTTGTGGTCGTGACTCGTGAGAATTAAAGATATATGAAATATTTAAATAGAAAGTTTGAGATGACAGAAATACACAAAGCTAATAAATATCAATACGGCCTGCCATAGACCTGAAATGGAATGCACATAATCCGACTGCAGGTGGCGATGTTACTCGATAATTGAGGCATGTGACATGCCTGTGGTAATTGGTCACTAACAAGACACACCTGTTCTCAGCTTATTAAGGCCGACAGCAGGAGAGGAGAAGAGCTTTGTGTCTCCTTGGGGTTTCTGTAGACACAATGCCGTACCAAGATTCTTTTTACACTGATTTCTTCTTTGAGCCTCTGACTGAAGACGTGGAGGAACTGTTGTCTCGCTTCCAGCGAACGGACTCAGTCAGGTATGAGGTCTTCTCTGCCATCTGGAGGGACATGAAGTTTCCGGACATCTTCAACGGCATCACCAGTGGCTGTGAAATGAAGCGACTCTGCCATGTGGCTCTGGCCACAGCGGTGAAGTACTTCTTACCTCCGTTCAGCTACCAGATCAGAGTGGGAGGTTTGTATCTGATGTTCGCTTTCTACCACACCCAGCGCGCCTGCACGCCCCTGAAGATCAGAGTGGCTCTGAAGGACTGGGCTCATGTTCAGAGCTTCCTCCATGAGTCTACAGAGGCGCTGCACCATGATGTGGTTTACATCTATCACAAGCTTGCTGTCAGCCAAGCTTTCCACTACACGGCCATGCCTCATTTCCTCCTCTTCCAGAAGCAGCAGAAACCAAAGCAGAGTCTGTTAATTGAGTTCCTGAGCAAGCCGGCCGCCCTGCAGGAGCTTCAATCCACAGAATTCCTGGAAGAGATGGTGGAAATCCAGAGCCAATATGAGAAACTTAAGATGACCACCATGGAGGTCACCGTTGAAGTCAACACCATTCACTCAGACTTCACTTCCCGCTTAAACAAATGCATGTCAGAGTTCATCGCATGGCAGCAGAAAGATTTACCCAAAGAGGAAAATGCCAGAGATGAAATCAAGGAGTCTCCTGGAGATGCCTGCAGCAGCAGAGCCAGGCTCCTGTCTTCCATCAAGCAGAAGAGCTACAGTAATGTCAAGAAGGCCTCTAAGTCCAGGAGGCACAGAGAGGTGGAGAAGGCAGAGCACTCCAGCTCTGGCGGGGAGCAGTCCCAGCAGCCTTCCAGCACCAAGAAGCAAGACTCTTTGCGAGCCAGGACATGGAAAAACCTGGGAAAGAAGGATGGCAGAAAAACTCTGGCCTGGCTGTTGAGCACCCCCGAGTTCCTGGATGAAACTCAACTGCGGCGGCATAGCCAGCATCAATATGCGGAATACAAAGTGAAGAAGGAGGCAGGGTAAACCTGAACTGTGCTTTGGTTATAAAGTGTCCTAATGATTTTCACTTGGGTTTTTTAAGTTGAAGTTCTTTTTTTTTTTTTTTTTTTTTTTTTTTTTTTTTTTAATATAAGAGTTGATTAAAATCTGAATGCAATGCAGTCTGTCTCTGGTTTTTTTTTTTTTTCTTCCTGTGAGTAGAAAGTGGTTTTTAAAAACC